ATTTAATGGTTGTGGTATGAATTAGACATCCACTAGCAAAGGGCCATGAGCCACCCTGGTAAGAAACAGACCTATCTGATGTTTCAACATTTATAAATGCCTTTGAGATGCATCAGTGTGGGGTTTGCAGTCCCTCAGCACCTCTTGTCTGACTGCATCTCCTCCAAGTTCTTTTGGATCACGTGGGCCCAGCTGACTCAGATCTCTGAAACACGTCTGCTGCTCCACCACTGTCATAATTGTCCTCCCCAATTGTTGTGCCAGAGAGGTTGATAGCTTGACAGGCTCAGGTTTTGACAAGCAAGTGTTGACGTTCATGAAAACCCCAAAGGACAGGATAGAAGTTGAGTCCTGTTCAGCTCCTCTGTGTCCTGCCTGCAGCTGAGCTTGGAGTGTGCTGTGGGGATTTCTGGTGCTGCCACTGCAAAAGCAGCTGCACCTCGAGGCTCCCCAGGTGCCAGTGCCCCTTGTCCCTGCTGGCAGCCAAGCAGGGACAGCCCTGTTGCTGGCCACACCTGCCAGGGTTCCTCCCACCTCAGTCTGGAGAAGTGCAGTGTAGACTTCTTGCCCAGCTTAGCTCATCCTAGAGTAAAAACATTACAGATGTCTTTAATTCCTATGGGTTTTATCTCTGGTTTTGTTCCCAGTAGCTGCTGAGCAGGAGCCACCACCACAAAGGGGTTTGGCACAGGTGACAGAGTACACACCAGTCTATCCCTCTGAAGCTCTTCTCCACCTGGTAACAGCAGTGTTTCAGTGACCTGTGGATGCACAAATCCAGGGCTCCTCTGGGGGTGCAGTTAGCACCACCAGCACAGAGGGTTCTGCTTCATGGCTGCAGTCTCAGAGCCACAGTGATTGGTTCTTGCTCTCGTCTTACTTCACTCAGGATCTTATAATAGTAGATAATGAAACCTTAAGGAAAAACCCACATTTAAACCAAACCATGTGTGTGTTTTATACATGTGGTTTGGCTCTGCTCACACACAGGACCCAGGGCACTGGTGGTTTCTAAAGCCACAGGGCTGTCCAGCCCGGGGCAGTGGTGGACTCACCATCCCTGGGGGGGCATAATGATGTGTGGCTGTGGCACCTGGGGCTCAGGTGAGTGTTGGCCTTGGCAGGGCTGTGGCTCTGGGGGTGGAAGAGGTCCCTGCAGCCCAAGCAGGCAATGGCTGGAGGTGTCACCCCGCTGCAGCCCTGGTTCCCTCTTGCTCCCCTTTATTACCCCTCTGTCCTCCCTTTGCCTGTCTGCACTGCCCCTGCAGCAGATCATCTGGAGTGCTTAGAGATCAGCGTTTGGGGCTGATTTACAGAGCTGCACTTTGACTTGACGCTTTTATGTCTCGCTGCTTATTTTTCTAATTACAGCTGAAAGGAAATGTGAGATAAGTATCATGTAATGAAGGAGCCAAAGCCCCAGGGACACCTGATTTGATGTTGTGCTCGCTGTTTGAAGGGAACCATTGGGTTTTGTTTTCCAATTAGTGAGGGTTTGGAGTCGGTGAGGGGTGGCAGCAGCAGCTCACCCACCGAGCTCCATCACGCAGGTGTCAGTGCACGCACTCAGGGTGCAGGAACACGGGCTCTCCAGGAGTTCCACATCCCTGGAGCACTGGTGTGCCTTGCAGGCAGACCAGCAGCTGTGGCTAAGGGCCAGGTGTGTGGCAGAAACACAGGGAAACACAGGCACCATCACCAGCCACCGCAGTCCCTGGCACCTGCCTGTGCTGCTGACAGGAAGCAGCAGAGCAGTGAGGCCACCCCTGCTGGGGTCTGGGGGGCTGCAGGGGGACAGCCCTGGAGCTGCCTGCTGGCCTCTGGAAAGGGTTTGCCACAAGAGATGTGCAGTGCTTGGGAGAGCCTGACCAGGGGCTGCAGGGACAAGGCTTTTGTCTCGGTTGTACCTCTCTTCCACTCTGGTCTGGGATGGGGCAGTCCCACGGGGGCATCCAAGTGCAGTGACCTTTATCCCTGCAATGTGACTGTGTACAGGGTTTTGTCTTCTTGTGCTGCTTCCCTTTCTAATTGTGTGTGAGCAGTTGTTTGAGTCGTCACCTCTACTCTCTCTTCTCTGGATCTTCCCCTCTGTTTCTAAGTGGGAGACTGGTCATGGCTGAGGATGTAATTGATGCTGGTTCCTTTCCATGCCAGATTAACAAGGACATGGATTTCCTTGCTCAGTATGTGCTCCTCATGTCCTTAGGTGAGGGCAGTGATGCCAGGGCACTCCTTGGGCAGTGTTCACTGGGGGAGGAGCTGCTGCTGCTCATCACTTTTCCTGTCCTTGTGACTGTAAGTGATGGAACCAAGAAGCTTCAAGCTCTTTTCTGTTGTAAGTCTCACATGGAACCATGTCCCCCTCAGCCCGCAAGCTGAAGAAACTGGGTAACCTGAAGACACAGGAGGAGCTGGAGGCAGTGAGTGCATCCAGCCCCACGGAGGAGCAAGCTCCCAAGCTGGTGATGACGCGCATCGATGGCTACGAGTGCCAGCCTATCTTCCTCAACGTCCTGGAGGCCATCGAGCCTGGGGTGGTGTGTGCTGGCCACGACAATAGCCAGCCAGACTCCTTCTCCAACCTGCTGAGCAGCCTGAACGAGCTCGGGGAGCGGCAGCTGGTCTATGTAGTCAAGTGGGCAAAGGCCCTGCCAGGTGAGAAAGGAACCAAACAAATCCCTCCTTTCCCAGACCCTGTCTACATTGCCTGGGGCAGGTGCTGAGGGGATGGTCTGCAGCGCTGTCCCACCATCACACAGCTCCCTCTCTGTCCCTCCCCAGGGAGCAGGCTGCAGCCTCAGGCTTGTCTGGCCGTGGGAGAAGGGATGGGGGGTGACAGAGTGTGTTGGAGCTCACGCTTTGGGTTCTGATAGCCCCTGACTCATGGTCCCATGTGGGCACGAGGCACTTCCCCCTGTGGGGAGCTGCTGCTGGTCAGGGCTCAGGGTCCTGCTCTCCTCCTGCTCTGCCCACAGGGATTTATTTCACTCCACTTCCAGGCTGTGTCTGCCAGCCTGGCAGAACTCCACACTAGGCAAGGGTTAGCTCTCTCATAACCCACCTGAAGTGGTGAAAAGGGTAAATTCCAGCAGCCGATTAGTTGAACGCGGGAGAAGAGAGATAACAGATTCCCAAAGGGCTCTGTCCTGGCTGTCTCTTAGGTTGCTTGTGTGACAGCCCAGTTATATTTCTTAGGCCTTTGGAGAGGTGATAGAGGCATGCACAGGGACCAGGAGGTTTGCAGATGTTGATCAGCAGGTGCAGCCAGTGGACCATCCCAGTGCCAGGCGTGTTCATTGAGCCGGATATGGGCAGGGTCACCCAGGAGATTAGCAGCTCCCTGGACTGGTGGGCCCAGGGGGATGTTGGTCTGAGTGCACCGAAATGCAGAGCAGCTCATTCCATTTCTCATATCCTTGAGGCAGGAAAGGTTCACCTGGCTTGTGAAACCAGGGACAGATCCTACTTTCTCTTGGGCTTATCTGCACCAGACATCAGGATGTCTGCAGACAAGTACAGGGAGATACGACCGAGCTGCCTGGCACCCGGGGCTGAGGGAAAGGGAGAGTGCTTTTAAAGGCGTTTTCTGTTGTAACCACCCCCTTATCAGAGGGTTTTACTCTCCTGAGCTGCACCTGGTGCCTGACCCTCGGTGTGTAGAGGTACCAGCTGCTGTCCCTGGGGTCAGTGCTTGCTGTGCCAGGGCAGCATCTGGGCAGGACTCATTCTCCTGCTCATTTGCCTTTGAGAGCTCCCCGAGCCACGGAGATCCTTGCTCAATGGATTGTAATTATACACTGGAACAGTTAAATTGCTTTAACATTTGACTGAAAAAACATCTGATTTGATTGAAAACAGATTGTATTTGCCTTCTCACAAGTATCTGGAAGAAAGCAGCGTTGGAGGTGGAGTGCTGTAAACACGCCTGGGATTTGGCTCTGAACCCCCAGCTGGGGTTGCTGGTTTGAATTTGATTGCTGTTTTCGTTTCTCATGCCATGCAGCCAAGGGTTCCATGCTCATTTCCATAGCACTGGACCCATGCAGAGTGCACTGGACAGAAACTGGAGCGTCTGTAACCGTGGGTGAGGCCTCGAGGTTACTGCTGCCTCTCAGCAGCTCATTAAAACCCAGTAACTTCAATTCAGTGAAGCCCTAGTGGGACCTTCTTCCCTCCTTGTGTCTGAGATCGCCTTTCTTACCTTCCAGGGGCAGATTTGAGCTTGGCTGATTGCCAGGCAGGGTGGGAGCCCCAGGCTGCTGGCACTGCAGCAGTGTCTCTGCTGATGTGTGCGTGTTCTGGGCCACGGACTGACCACTCTGCCTTAAGGGAACGTAGCAGGAGAGCTGGAGTCTGCATGGAAACAGCCCTGGAGTCTGCATGGAAACAGCCCTGGGAACTGCAGGAAGCCAGTATTAATTCATGCCATCCCTCCCTCGTTGTTTATTAGGGTTTCGCAACCTGCATGTGGATGACCAGATGTCAATAATCCAGTACTCGTGGATGGGCCTCATGGTGTTTGCCATGGGCTGGAGATCCTTCACCAACGTCAACTCCAGGATGCTTTACTTCGCTCCAGACCTGGTCTTCAATGAGTAAGTGTGAAACAACACCAGCCTAGTGCTGGGCTTGGGTCAGCCCAGGTGAGAAACAAGAACAAGACAAACTGTGCAGCTTGAGCACTCATGCTCTGAGCCACCCAGCCCAGCACAGGGGGCTCTGCTCCCTCTCTGACCACCTGCAGTGACCTCCAGGAGGGGTGAGGGTACTGTGATGCCTATCCTGGGTGCCCCAGGCGTGCCATGGGCTGACTCCCTTGGGGTAGGAGCTGGGGTGGGGTGAAGAACTGCTCCGTATGGACCTGCCTGTCTGCTGGGGGGTTTGAGTTCCTGTTTCCAGTTCATCTGGGCAGCTGGAGTGAGCAGAGACAATGTGTAGTGCAAGGTCCTGGTGAGCCCTCCCTGAGGTACCAGCAGTTTAGAGCTGGAGTGGAGTGGGCTGGCACTGAGGTAGAAGAACCCAATAACCAGGCTCAGCAGGAGGCGAACCCACACCTGCCTGGGAGCTCCACCTAAGCCTCATATCCCTCAGGGATGGTCATGCTTGGGGAATTATTGCTCCTCAGGATGGCAGAGGCTCAGGTGAACCCTGCAGGTCCCTGCAGCCATCCTTTCCTTTCCCAAAGAGGGTTACACACAGGTGCTTTGGAAAACACTCCTCTCCTGCACGCAGCACCCCCAGGACGGAGCGGGCGCTTGGCAGGGGGTGTGCCAGGCGAGGGGGATGGAACGTGTGTCCCACAGGTGTGCCCCGGTGCCACCTGTGCCCATCTCGTCCTGCCAGGTACCGCATGCACAAGTCCAGGATGTACAACCAGTGCGTCAGGATGCGGCACCTCTCCCAGGAGTTCGGCTGGCTCCAGATCACACCCCAGGAGTTCCTCTGTATGAAGGCTCTCCTCTTCTTCAGTATTAGTAAGCACCCACACCCTGTCCCCCCAGAGCTCCAGTCCGGTGCCACCTGTGCCCATCTCGTCCTGCCAGGTACCGCATGCACAAGTCCAGGATGTACAACCAGTGCGTCAGGATGCGGCACCTCTCCCAGGAGTTCGGCTGGCTCCAGATCACACCCCAGGAGTTCCTCTGTATGAAGGCTCTCCTCTTCTTCAGTATTAGTAAGCACCCACACCCTGTCCCCCCAGAGCTCCAGTATCTGCCGCTGCGTCACCCTCGAGGTGTCTGGTGCCTTCCGCGTGCCTGGACTGCACTGCCTGAGGAGAGGCTGGGGGTGTTCCCTGCTTCAGCCTTCCTCCTGCTCCCCTCTTCTCCCTGGACTCCTCTCACTGTTTCCTTCCCACCCACCCAGTTCCAGTGGATGGCCTGAAGAACCAGAAGCTCTTTGATGAGCTGCGCATGAACTACATTAAGGAACTTGACCGTATCATTGCCTGCAAGAGGAAGAACCCAACCTCCTGCTCCCGGCGCTTTTACCAACTCACCAAGGTCCTGGACTCTGTGCACCCGGTAAGGGGCGACAGGGCAATGTCCATCTGTACACATGAGGAGCAACATAAGAAACTGCCCACAGTGAGAATGATTGTTCCCTGGAACAACCTTCCCTGGGCCGGGGCAGTCCCCATTGTGGGAGGAGTTCAGGTGCAGGTGGACAGGGTGCTGGGTAGTCTGCTCCAGGCTCCCTTTTCCAGGGAAGGTGGGACCTCTGCTTCATGTCCTCCCAGGGGCTCGTTTAACCAGCTCTCTTCCTCCCCAGATTGCCAAGGACCTGCACCAGTTTACATTTGACCTCCTGATCAAGGCACACATGGTGAGCGTGGACTACCCAGAAATGATGGCTGAGATCATCTCCGTGCAGGTTCCCAAGATCCTGTCTGGAAAGGTCAAGCCTATCTACTTCCACGCACAGTGATCTTCCGGAGGGACCCCCGTGCTGCTGCCCCATTCCAGCTGACTCCTCCTGCTCTTCCTGCACCACTGTCCTGCAGTGCCTTGGGGCGGCCCAGGGATGGGCAGTGACACACCTGCTGGGGCTCCTGAGTCTTCTCTTCTCCTGAGGTGCCTCTGGACTGAGCCCTCGGGCTCTGCCCGGCTCGGGCTGCGGCAGGGCCATCACATCTGTCCTCCGTCTTCGGCCCCGTGGCCGCCCAGGGCCGTGGGAGAGCAGAATGGCTTGGGCTCAGGGTGTTTTTATGTACAGAACAAGACATGAAGCACGTTCACCTCCACGCCTGGGTGTGAGTTGCGTTGCAGCCTCCCACAGGACTCCTCACCCTGTGGTGCTGGGAAGCAGAGGAGTTCAGGCCTTGCAGCAGGGAAGCAGAGCTGGGCACGAGGTGAATGTGCAGCTGAGGAGCTCGCTGGTCCTGCGGCTGCCGTGGGCCAGGGACCTGCCTGTGCCGCGGGACAGGAGGGACAGAGCGACTGGGCTGCTGTGGAGGGTGACCTTGGAAAGCCCCCAATGGCTTCTGTTTGCCACCTGGCTGTTCCTCCTGTGGCCTGTCCGGCTGGATCTCGGTCTGCCCCACAGATCCCTGGGCGCTCAGCAGTCGTGTTCCCATCCTCACCAGCTGCCACTCCCCAGCACAGCCAGACCCACCCCTGGAAGTGCCTGTTGCCTTCGGACCTGACACCTGCCCTGCTCCCCTGGGCACCCACAGCTCCTGCCCAGCCCTGCACCCCTTCTACTCCCACTGTGTCTCCATAGACCTGAGTTTCCAGCTATGCTCCTTCCTTTTGGTTTGTCCCAGCTCTCCTTTCCGATGCCAGCAGATGAGTGTCCCAGAGCCAAGAGCAGGGCCAGGACCTGCAGAACCTGTGTGGCCGTGGGACTCTTCCGTGAATCCCACCCGTGGGGAGATGGCTCTGGGAACTGGCAGGTGCTGCCACGATGCTTCAGAGGGCTGTAAAGGAATCACTAAGAGACTCATCAGGAGTGACATGCACAGCTCCTGCTAACTGCAGTGGCTAATTGCAGCTGGGGGACACTGCCATGCCCTCGCTGTCCCACGGACACAGTCCCACACACGCTGACCCACAAGCACCGTCCCACGCGCTGCCCCATGCACTCAGCCTGTCCCCAGCACACAGTGCTCAGGCCTGTGTTCCCCTCCAGCTCCTCCCTGCACACCCCGAGCCCACCTGAACCCACTGCTCAGACCTGACTGGGGCTGCCAGGGGCTGTGGCATGGACCAGCTCATGCCAGGGACACACGTCCCGTCGTGGACTCTGACATGGTCTGGCATTCCCAACCCAGATATCCACAAGGAGTCCTCATGCTGGTGCAAACAGCAAACCCTGCACCTCCCCACAGCCCTGAGCCCACCTCGTGCCCACGCCCTGTGCCCACGTCTCCAGGCAATGCAGCCTCCAAAGGTCCCTTTGCAAACTCACAGTCAAACAATTTTCCTGGTACTTTTCAACCTTTTGATGGGAATTTCATCAAGGGAAAGG